ACAACTATTGCAAGTCTACCCGCCTGGGTCTCTATAGGGGTAGTAGGGGCTACCCCGATACCACGAAGAGCTGGCCAAAACAACCTCCAAAGAGAAGGGGAGAGAATCGACAGGAGGCTGTGTGAGACAAGCCTTGCCTTGACTTGAAAATTGGCCGGTGAGAGCTCTTCGGGGGACTGCTGCTCTCCATTCAGGCGGGTGGTGTTTTTACATGCCCACTGTAATGCACGCGTCGCTGGGTTGAGGGAGCTCTTTCTTTGTTAATGCTGGAGCTTCATTGCTCCATTGATGGTGTATTTAGTCGGCGTGGCTCAGTAACAAAGTCGCGGGACTATAACAGACCAGGCGCTAAAGCGAGTGTCCTGCATGGCTATTCAGCTAACCCGGAAGAATTTCTACCGGCCATCAACCTTATCCTTTAAAAAGAGGTTAACATGACAGAGTTTCAAAACCAGGTGGAAATTGAGGAGCGGCGTTTCTAACCTTCTCGTGGCAGCGCTGCTATTCAATTGCATTTTTCACCTACCAGTGAATGATGACGTTGATATTTGCAAACTGACACATAAATTTTGAACCTTATCCTGCCTGTAATGGATTTGTATGTATTTATGTATGTATGATTATGTATGTATGTATGTATGTTTGTATGTATGAATGTATGTATATATAGTCATACATATGTAATGAAAAATCGACCGAGTTTTTCGAGGATGCTCCGCACTTCAGCACGAGCAGTCAACGGAATCTTCAAAAGGCCCGCGCAGGAGCACGATTTTCTTTGAGATTTTCAGGATGCTCCGCACGGGAGCGCGATTTTGAACGGAAGAACGACGAAATTTTGGGGATGTGCCGCACGGGAGCGCGATTTGCTTCAAAATTTTCAGGATGCTCCGCACGGGAATGCGAATTGAATCAAAATTTTCAGGATGCTCCGCACGGGAGCGCGATTTTCATCAAATATTTCAGGATGCTCCGCCTGGGAGCGCGATTTCAATCAAATTTTCAAGATGCTCCGCACGGGAATGCGAATTGAGTCAAAATTTTCAGGATGCTCCGCCTGGGAGCGCGATTTTAATCAAATTTTCAAGATGCTCCGCACGGGAATGCGAATTGAGTCAAAATTTTCAGGATGCTCCGCACGGGAGCGCGATTTTCATCAAATATTTCAGGATGCTCCGCCTGGGAGCGCGATTTCAATCAAATTTTCAGGATGCTCTGCACGGGAGCGCGATTTTAATCAATTTTTTCAGGATGCTCCGCACGGGAGCACGATTTGAATCAAAACTTTCAGGATGCTCCACGCGGGAGCGCGATTTTAATCAAATTTTCAGGATGCTCTGCACGGGAGCGTGAAATTCTTCAAAATTTTCAAGATGCTCCGCACGGGAGCATGATTCAGGCTAAAAGAGGACGACCTTGAGCGAAGCAGTTTGGTATAGAATTGGTATAGAAATCTGTCTTTAAGTGATCAAAATTTGAACGATGAATCCGACGAATCCTATACCAAAACGCTCCCCCAAGAACCCTCGAGCAGGTGCGCGATTTTGGAAGATAGATCTCATCAAATTTTTCCGAATGCTCCGCACGGGAGCGCAATTTTGACCGATTTACATTAAGATAAATCGATGGAATTTCGAAGATGTCTCGAGCGAGAGCGCGATTTTCGAAGATACGAATATGATCAAAACGCCAAAAAGAGCGAATTGTCTCGCGCGGGAACGCAATTTTTGAAAACGCAAGATCCGGATTTTTGAGGATGTCTCGCACGGGAGCGCGATTTTTGAAAATCGGAGCGCGATCGATTCGATATCGACCCCCCCTAGCAAGACTACTTTAAAGGCGATTTCGCCTCCCTGTTGGATCCATCATCGATATAGAAACGTTCATTTTTTGAAGACGTCTCGAGCGAGATTTGATAAACAACAATGATGTTCGACGGCTCAAAAAATTCGAATTGTCCCGCGCGGGAGCACCATTTTTGAGTCCAACATTTTTGCTCGACGGAAGAGCACGCTGCGGGTGCCGGGCGACGCCACATCGAAACAATTAGAACCCCACAATGAGTGTGGGGAATAATTTACTGGTTTAAACCCACTAGGCACCTCTGTATGCCTGGTCCGCAGCAAACCACAGGTGCGCAGTTGGACGCTTGCCTGACACGGTGATTTTGACCCTAATCTACGTGGAAAAGTCCTTTGCAGAGATGCAGTATAAAGGTCCCCCTTTAGGGTAGCCTGAAGTGAGCAGCCAGCCTTCTACACTGACCCTAAATGGACGACGGGTTGGTGGTTTTAGGAGGTTGGTAATCCATAGGGCCCATAGGCCACAGGTAGTGCCCGCTGGGTTTTCTATCGCCCTAAAGCCTGAGGACGCGCCCTACCTTTTCGATGGGGAGGGTCGCTCACAATGGGCATCAGCTTCCGCCGAGTTGATGGCGACGCTCGCGGCCTTGCATCTCTTCGGGCACTTAGAGCCAACGGCACAGATACGGCAGTTCCCTGTCGTTAACTCCGCTGTCACACACAACCGTGGGAACGAAAGCTTAGAACGCGAGCAAAGCACCACTAAGCGGGCGCTAATGCCGGTCAACATCCAGTTGTCGCATCACTTAATGAGGGTTATGCTAAAACTTGATTTCAGGTCGCGGCCGCGGGAGGAGAATCAAAACGCGGATGATCTCACAACTCAGAGATGTCAGAACTTCAGTGTGGATAGAAGGATTCAGTGCAAGGGACCCGAACTTGCACCTAGCTTGTTGTTACACAAATTTTGGGAGACGAAGAGTCAGTTTGATGCCATGCGGCTGCAGGTCGCGTCAACAGCTCTTTCAGAAGTATGTACGGTATATATATGAAGTTGCAGGCAGAGAAGTTCAACCAGACCAGATTTTTTTCTCAGGATGGTGGTAGGCGTCCCAAGGTGCCGAATGCGAACCCGTGTGGTTGCGTCATTTCACACCCGTCTCACTTTGTGTGAGCCCTACCACATTGACTTCTCATGAGGGCTTTTGCGGCCAACCAAATGGGAGTGGTGGGTGGGAAAGTTAAAAGTTGAGCTGAAAACTGACATGTAAAACATGTTTCTCAAACGGAACTCAATCAACAAATCAGGGAGACAATCTCAAGCTGACATGTGCTGAAAATTCAAGCTGCTGTTTTTCAAGGCAGAGAAAGCAAACTAAAACTTCTCGTTTTCTGTAGCTCCGAAGAGCGGCCCCTGAGTCAACTATCCCGCCCTCCCATCCCTCCTGCAACCCCTCCACCAGTTCCCTGAGGCGAGCCCGGTGGTGCCTGTTTTCGGGGTTACGGCTCAATGGGCTTCAGGATAACTCCCAAAACTTAATAAACATAAGTTTCCTTCAAATAGACATTGAATCACTCATTCAATAGACTCAAAATAGTATTCGGGTTAGCCGGGGAAGCTAACCATTGTCTCACGTGTGTGAATAACGCAACCACACGGGTTCGCATTCGGCATCTTGAGACGCTTACCACCATCCTGAAAATGGAAATCTGGTCTGGTTGAATTTCTCTGCCTGCAACTTTATGTATATATATATACTTCTGATTGAATACTATTTTGAGTCTATTGAGTGAGTCATTCAAATTCTATTTGAAGGAAAATCATATTGATTCAGTTTTGGGAGTTATCCTGAAGCCCATTGAACCCCGAAAACAATGTTTTCAAGGCGCCTTCTCAATAAAGAAATGACTTCACAATTTATTTTTTCTGTGCATGAAAGACGTGAACGGACGTAGAAACAAGAAGCAGTTTTTCACCAAATCCAAGTGTTTCATTTTGCCCCCGTGTCATTGGCTTCTTTACAGCAGTGGCTATATCACACGAGGAGCTTTTTCGGAAAACGCCTTGAAATCAGCCAAACCGAGTGGTAGCCGTCCAAGTTGCAGTCACTCCGAACGAGGCATTGTTCGTATTTCATGATGTAGTATGAACGTGCAATATCTTTCGCAGATTTGATGAAAAATTTTAAGCAGTCTTACGAGAGATAGCAACAATGTTCCGAATGGCTGCAAACACTGTTGGGCCATGGTTGCCGATGCACCAATGTAAGCCGGACGCATACAGACCCATGTCGTTGATTGTCGCTTATTTGATGGACGATGTTCCCCAAAATGCCCACGGCGCAGCGAATCGTCATACATTTTTCACATGGTTCACAGATCCAAAATGGCGGTAAGGGGTGTGTTTATGCTTTTTTTTCAGCCGTTTCCAAAATGGGTCGTATCATTCAGCATTCAATCATGACTCGTAACGTTTCCTGAAACCACCGGTGGTTTGCAGGCTGCTGAGATATTTTCATGCTTGCTTGGTTCCCAAGTTGCAAGAACAAAAAACATGTTTGCAGCAATGTTGATGTTGTTTGGCAAGTGACGTACCTGTGAGTGTATATGTGCATCGCGCAGATCCATGCAGCTAGTTCCTTGGCCAGCGCAATGCCATTTCAGTGGTTGTCATCCAAGGCATTATTTTGGGACACAGCAGTCATCAGCTTGGCGTCCAAAAACTGGCTGGTCACCTTTGTTGTCCTGTGTTGCGGCATGTGGATGTGCACGCAGCCGTGGTGTACGCGTCAGTGGAACAGCACATGGAGACAAGATTTTCCAGTTGCCGCAGAGTCCAAAAGATGACAAGATCTCGCACATGAAAATTGCAGTCGTCGAATTGGAAGGGAAGGGATGCGGCATCGTGGCAACGGCAGAAATATCCCGTGGGGAGGCGATTCTCCGCGAGAGACCATTGTTAAGCTTGCCAAATTCATTCCAATGCGATGTCCACGCCTTGTTGAATGGGACAAGTCTCCAGCAGCTGGATGATGATTTAAACATGGCTTTGACACACTGCACGGATGCCAATCAGGCTCGCTTTTGGCAGTTGTCGGATTGTCATGCAGATGATGCCAGCCCTAAAACGGCGGCAGGGATTGCATTGACAAATGCGCTGCAATTAGGTGCAGGAGGTGGTCTCCTGGTGACATCCGCCCGCTTTAACCATAGCTGCAGGCCAAATGTGCAAGGGCACTGGGACAAGATGGAAAACGGCGGCATGGCAGTGTGGCATGCTTTGCGTGACATTGCAGTTGGCGAAGAACTTTGTTTTTCTTATGTCGACCCTTACGACAGCAATGTGGAGCGCCATTCCACGTTGCACCAGCTCTTCAAATTTCAGTGCAGGTTTTTTGTCACAGGGAAATTCAGCAAGATATTTGCTTTTTAATGTTGGCTCGCTTTTGCATTTGCAACTTGTCATGAGATTTGGAAGGTGCCCAGTCTGTCTGCTGCAGGGTGAGGCAAGGGTGACCAGCAATCAGAATCGTCAACAGCTGCGGGATTTGAAAGAGGCGCAGCTGCTACTGATTTCTCTGTGCATATCTTGTTGTTGTCTATTTCGCTTCAGTCTGAAGACGCTGGTCGAGACAAATAGCTTGTTAGTTGTGCGCTGTAGAAGGGCAGACACAGCACTGCCAGATCTCGAATGTTAAGCCACTCGGACGTAGCGGGGCACACACATGACGTTTGTCACAATCTTCACGCTAGATCTCCGTGCATGTGATGAAAACATGCAAATTTGATCTGCCGATCAGGCCTTGGAGTTATCGGCCATGGTGGCAGATGACACAGCTGAGATGGCCCGGGCACTCGTTCCTCAGATGTTGGAAGCCTGGCCTTATTGGTGACCCCCAGGCTATGCCTTTGCTGAGCGGTATTTATCGCATTGTTTGGTTGCCATACATGCTGCCAAGAGAGGGTGGTGACAGATAAGGCTGTAGTATGTTCTGTTCTTGAAAACACAGCTTGTCAGTGCACACTTGGTTTCAAGACGCTGTCGAGCGAGATGTCTTCCGAAGTTGCACTTCATTCCTATGTGGAGAATGGACGCAGCCTCCTAGATCGGCAATTCAATGCGCTTCAGCAAGCAATCCAGCAAACCTCTGCCAAAGCATGGCTGGCACAGCAGCTTTCAAGCTGTTCTTTGTGCTTGCAAGGTTTAATCAAGCTTGGATCTTTTATCTGGACAAATACATGGTGGTAGAGACACTTCTGCTGTTGGCCTGGAAGTTTCCTCCTGCTAGAGGCTGCAGGTGCCTTCAATTATAGGAGCAAACATGAAAATTGTTTTTTATTTATGGAACTGCCCGAAAAATCCTGAGCCAGGAGAGCTTCTAATGCCCCCTTACCCAGAGGTGCCCCAACTTAGATCTCAGGAGCTCCTCGACATTGAGCTGGATGGTAGCCCTGCTCTGAAGAGCAAAACCCTGCATGTAGGGTTTCTGCTTCTTGTCATCATCTAGTTTCGAAGTTGACTGCACCTTTTCTGCTGTGAGGATATCTTCACTCGGCTGTCCTACATTGCTAGTCTCGTTTTATATGAATGTTCCCGCAAAATCAGTTTTCGCAATCTCCTCTCTGAGGGGGACCAGAGTCATTGACAGTCCGAAGTAGAGACTACCACATAAGGCTCGCTCTTGAGGGCGGCGCTGACGAGCTTGCCCGGAGCATGGCACATGAGGCCCCTGGAAAGATGCGTTACGTCGAACAATTGCTAGTCTCAGCCTCGTTGATGTTATTCAGACACAGGCACAGCTCGCTGAACCATCGCATGTGTCAGGGGTAGCCCTCATGGTGTTTGCAATGTCCCCAGTCGTGGGCCGTGGCTCGGCTTCAGGCGTGGCAAAATGCCGTGGTGGCCTATGGCGCAACTTCAGTCCCCAGGTAGCAGCAGCTGTGCCAGTTGTTGAGATTCAAAGTCGAGGGTGGTCAGAGTCTGCAGCATTTTTGCTGAGGCCACATCACCCTCAAGCCTCAAGCATACTTTCTTTCTTGACATTTTAAATCTTGACCCAACTCTGCCACTAAGGAGCGAGCCCTCCAGCTGAAGGTCCTTGCCTCTGGAGAGAGCCCAGAGGAGGTCAGTCATTCTTGCTCTCGGGGTGATTTAGGATGAGGCGATCTTCTGGCAAGTTTAAGTGTATGGCTGAGAGTTTGGAGTTTGGACGACCGAACAAACTCCTCAACTGCCTAGGCCTCTTGTCATTTAGTTTCTGAGCTGAGATCCCAGCTCGAAAGCCTGACCAGGATGTGGAGGATGTCCTCCTCCAGCTCCAGGCAGCTGAATTTTCGGTCCCAAGTCCAAGCAGTCCATATCTGGAAGACGAGGACTAAAACTGAAACATCCCTCGTGGTTCAACGCCACGGTTTCGCACATCGAGCATCGAAAGAGTCACCGTCAACAGTCTCAGCCCCGTGCTCTGTCATCGGGATGCGGACAAAAGGGCGTGGCCGAAATTCGCGGCCTTGGCGTTCTGACAGAAGCTTATGAAAAGATTATTGGCATCGGAGGTGCAGGCAAGTTGAGCATGGCTTACAAACAACACTGTCGGGCCCATGGTCAACTCTAGCCCAATAAAATTCTGCAGCACGTTCAACCTCCGCAATCGGGACCCATGAATGCAGAGTGTGGAAAAGGGGATTTTTGGTTGGTGCCAGCATGCAGTGCCACTTGGTTTTGACAAGACGTTAGACCGCATGAGCAGCATCTGCTTGCATGGCGTCAACATTTGGGATGAATCTGCGTTCAGCAATGCTGCAAGTCATCAGATGTGATTTCAGCTGACACGGTATGCCTGCAACATCCAAGTGCTTGCAGTAAGAAATCATTCGAAAAGGGACATACGAGGCCGCTGACCTTGGATTCAAATACTGGCCCAACCCATGGCTCTGCCCTAACTGACAGGAGATTTTGAACCCCACTAGGCACATGTAGACAAGAGCAACGCGACCGTTTGCGGGCTGCCACCCGCTGCTGGGTTGCGCCTAATGCAATGCCGACGCGACAGCAAACAGAAAGCCAGGACGGCAAGGCCAGCAGTCGGATGTTGGAGTTTTGGACCAGATTGGGTCAGTGCCTCCAAAACGCAGGATCTTCATGCAGCATTTCGTTTGCAGGGAACGGTATGGAGCAGTCAGGGTTTGCAAGCCATGACACTGGGACTCTTGGACAGCATGGGCTCTTCAGGACACAGGGTCCGCTGGGCTGACCCCTCATTTGTTTAGCGCTGACATGAAGGCGGGTCCAAGTTGAGGTCAAAGGGAGCCGAAGGCCGAGCTTGGGCAGCTGCTGCCAGCACCACGTTGGGTTCTGGGCTTGGCTCACCTTTGGCTTCTTGATCTCTCTGTACCTCTGCGTTGTTACCCATAGTCCGCCCCGGATGCATTTTGCTTGCTAGTGTCGACACATGTGCAGAGTCATGCATTCAAGGCCGTCCTCCACGTGGCAGCAGAACTCATGTCTTCATCCATCCTGGCCAGCTAGTGCAGCAGAGTTGCAAGACAGGGACCACTTGGAAGAATGGCAGCGGCAGCTGTGAACTCCCCTTCCGAACTAACAGCCCTTGGAACACGACTTTGTCTGAAACCCCTTAGAAATTTGAAGCAACCACACAATTTGCAAGTAAGCTCAGCCTGTAAGACTTTCTACTTTTGCGCGTGGCATGGCAGAAGATGGTGCTTCAACATGCAGGAAGCGGAAGGAGGACACAGATTTTGAAAGCCCAACAGACCTCCTCAGACCCTCTGTGTCATCACACGCTAACACTTTGCTGGCAAAGCCTTCAGATTCTGGCAAGGACTCCGACGTTGCACAGGCCCGTCAGGTGCGGCCAAGGCTTCTTTGGCTTCAAGAATGCTTTGTGTAAAAAGTTTGGATAATGTAGTGTTGGGCTTGACCCTACGTGTTTGAACAGCCACTCTTCATTCTAGATTGTCTAGGCTGGACAGCGACGCGACCGGGGAGGTAGATGCAGGCCTTTTGGAGGGCAAAGCGTGCATTCGTTGGCTGAGCTTGGCTCAGGTGACAGCATGGCACCACGTACACTTGCCCATGTGCAAGAACAGGAGTAGTGGCGAGTTTGTAAAATGTTAAAACTTAACTCAAACAGAGGTTTGTATGCACATCAACATGACTGGGTTTCCGTGCCGTGGCTTTTTCTTGAAGTGGCTTTGACCCCGGACAGGGCCACAGGCTCTGCAGCGACTGGAAGGCCTTCGGGCGCTCCGCAGCTTGACCTTTGATGCCTTTCATAGATTTTTGCCCTGAGCCGTGCCTGATCACTTGAAATCCTTCTCCCAGAATGAGGCATGGTCAGATGATTAGGAACATGTTTGTTTAGGGTTTGCGATGCGAATTCCGGTCCGCAAGTTTACACAGCTGCGCACGATTGAATGATGACCCCAGAAGATCCGTGTATGCCAGAAGGTCTGGGCCTGGCGTATACGATAAAACAATCGGCTGTTGTTCTTGTAATGGGCTTGCGAGATGTCCTCATGTGGGGCGGCCCTGTTGGGAAATCATAGCTGCTTGGCGCGTCATGTAGGGAAACCGTTGGACAGGGGATCGTCATGCTCAGAGGTGAAAACTCTGATTTCTGCAGATGACCTGTGCCCACGCATACCCGAAGTTCTTTGCTCTGCTGATGATGTTTTGGAATTTTTGTTTGCCAAGGAGAGCTTCCAGACCTCCTCGCAGGGACCAGTGGAACGCCCAGGCGGCGCAGATGAGTTTAGCGTTTGCAAGTCTTTTGTGAGTCCAGAAATATGAAACCATACAGGAATCTGCAAAAAGATCACGAGCCCTCTACCAGCCTTGCTCGTTATTTCGATCACAGGAGTCTAGTCCACATTGTGCATCGGCAACTTACTCAGTTGAAGCTAACTCTAGGGTATTGCACTCTGGGCTTGGAGATTATGTGCTTGACCGTCACAAATTGAGAGGAGTGCAACTAGTGGCATGATTGAGAGTATGGGTTCCAAAGCGCTATCAAGCCCTCATCCACTCTCTTGTGAGGAGCCTGGCTGCGTGCAGCCGCAACTGGTTCTGCCGAGTTCGTGAGTCCTTGCTTGGAGGCCTTTGGCACAAGATGTCTGTACTGGATGTGGTATGGTTTTCTGAATGCGGAGGAAACACACCTTGCTACAGAATACAGGAAGTCCTAAGATCCAGATGCAATGTGCCTCGACTTGAAGCCTTTAAAGTACAAGTGAGAAAAGAGGTAAAGAGAGGGTTTTCGATAGCCCTTGATTATTGCCGTCACTGTCTCGTTTCCGCTGTCTTGTGACTGTTGTCACTGTTATTGCAGCAGTGGTGGGGGTCAGGGTTGGTTGCTCGGTTGGCTGGCGCTGCGAGCTCCTTGCGCCATCGAGCACCGCAGCTGAGCTCCTGGGAAATTGAGGCGATGCCTGGCGCCTTCAATTGTGTTGTGAACCTCGGGGCCTGGTTTGACGTGGCACTCTGATCTTCACACTTGGGCTTGTAGAAATTTAGTTATTGTCGGCATGGATGAGGGTAGTGTGTCGAGCGCCATGACAAGACAATCAAATGGATTGTAGTACTTTGGGGTCTAGATATTTGCAAACCCCATATTACCTTAACGCCATAACGTGCATTTTTTTCTCAAAATCATGGGTCTGCTTTGGAGGGGTCACTAGAATGAGGATCCTTCATTTCATGAATGGGATCCTATGTGTTCTTCTTTTTGTGAAATTGCACGTGGATAATGTTGTGACTGTCAGCTTTACTCTTGTTGCCGTCGAGGCAGCGCTGCCGGCCATGGAGTCTGCTGCTAAGGATTCGCGTTATCTGGGATTCAAAACAGCACATGTGAAAGCTGTACACTGTAGA